TAATCAGTTACCAAATCTTGTCAGTTTAATTCCTGTATTTAGGAAATTTATTCACACACACCCCTTTTTTGCATCAAAATTACTTCTCTTGGTCTACTGTAGTAAACTTATATGTTATGTCCTTATAACATTCTTCTTTCCCTCCAGTTTATTCTCCATGCAGCAGTCAGAAAGATCTTTTAAAAACATAAGTCTTATATCACATTTCTGCTTAAAATTTGTTCCTGGGCCATTGTTGAGGGGATAAGGACCAAGATGCTTCATGTGGCCTGTACTTCTCACACCAAGTTCCCCAGCTCTTCCTCTGTTCCTCCCCGACTCTCCTAAGAGCGGGTTGATATTTAATACGCTTCCCTTCAGAGCCTTCATGTGTGCTATTCCTTCTGCCTGACCTGCTTCCTCCTACTTCCTCCCATATACCTCCCACATGCCTGCATTCACATTGATTCTTTGAAATTCAGCCTAAATTTTGCTTCCTCAAAAAATCCTCACACACATACAAATTCAGAACCTCAGGATATATGTTATCTTTGTACCCTTACTACTCTAGTGTAGCATTAATGGCCTTGGTAATTAAATGATTAATTTTGTGGTTTATTTTTTTTAATTTGATGCAAAAATAATTTTTTATTGAGGTATAATTGATACAGCATATTACACTAGTTTCCGGCATAAAACGTAATGATTAAGCCCTTGTCTATATTGCAAAATGATCATTGCAGTAAGTCTGCTTAACATCTGTCACCATACGTAATTACAGAATTGTTTTTCTTGTGATGAGACCCTTTAGGATTTATTCTTATCAACTTTCACATACACAATACAGTGTTAACTATAGTCACTATGCTGTACATTACATCTGCATAACTTATTTAGTTAACTGGAAGTTTGGCCTTTTTGATTCCCTGTACCCATTTTGCCTACCACTCACCCCCCTTCCTCTGGCAACCATCACTCTATTCTCTGTTTATGAGCTTGGTTTTGTTTTGTTTAGATTCCACATATAAGTGAGATCATATGGTATTTATCTTTCTATGTCTGATTTATTTCACTTAGCATAATACCCTCTAGGTCCATCCATGTTATCACAAATGGCAGGATTTCATTCTTTTCTATGGGTGAATATTCCATAATTGTGTGTGTATGTGCTTTATACTTTTATATGTTTCTGTTGATAAAAGTGCTGTGAAGCAAAGATTTTTGTCTATTTTAATCAGCAGTGGGTTCTTAATGTTTTGTACATGGTAGACACCAGAAGGAAACACACACAGAAGACTTCCCTCCCACTTAGGAAAGAAGCGTATTTTATTATTTATTATTATTTTATTATAATTTTACTTCTTAATCTTCATAATGTTTCTCAAGGCAGGGTGGAGGAGGGCTATAGTTGTTTATTCCCGGGATTTATAGATGTTCAAAAACACATGAGGTATTAGAACGATTATTTTAATGTCATGGGATACAAAACATTCAAATATAGTCTCTTGTGATAACAGTGAATTATACCAGCATCCTGTTGTATTTGCATTACTACTTAGAGTCTCTGGTTTCTCTCAGTGAATTGTAATATGGGTCAGCAAACATTTTCTCTAGAAGAGCAGATAGTAAATATTTTTGACTTTTCAGACATAGTCTATTTCACCAACACTCAACTCTGCCATTGTAGAATGGAAGTGGCTATAAAAAATACGTAAATGAATGGCCATGGCTGTTCCAATAAAACTTTATTTGTGGATACTTAAATTTAAGTTCCGTATAATTTTTAAGTATCAAGAACTTGTATTCTTTTGATTTTTTTTTTTTTTTTGCAACTATTTAAAATGTAAAAAACATCTTACGGGCAATACAAAAATAAGTACGTGGTCCCTGGGCCGTAGTTTGCTGACACTCTGTCTATAACTGCCTCTGTGCTTAATCAAACTGTCATATACAAGATTAAAATAGGTAGTAAAAGGAGATGGCCCCTTTCTGTATAGAAATAATGTGGGCTATGTAAAGAGATGGGAATTTTTAATTGTACAAAGAATTACTTAAGGACAATTCCAGATTTTGTTGCCTGTTTTACCTATTGGTAAACACTATTTTAAAAAAAATTAATTTCCCCAGTATTTGTGCCCTAATTTACTTATCTCTTGAGGCCAGCACTTCAGATTTAATATATAAATCTTCAACAGAGTAAATTTTATTTTTTTTCAACAGTAGATTTTAGAAAGAATTTTTAATGGAAATTAATTTCTTTGATACTGTCAGGTATCTAATATCTTGCCATATTGTAAGTTTCCTTATAAGTGTAGTTGAAAAATGAGAGAGGTTTTTTTCTTCTACCAATTGAAGCCTTAATTTTGAAACATGTAGGGGTAATGGAATTTAGCATTGATCTAAATTATGAATTACAACAGTGTGTACTTGTCACATCAACCCTAACCTTTTAACTCTGACTTTCTGAGCATCTTTATTGAATTACTTGATATTTTTATACCAATTGCTCTTCCAGAATTATTTTTATAAATTTTCATTTCCACCAATAGTGAATGTGAATAAAGTGGAGTGATTTTGAAATTCCTTAAATATATTCTGAGCGGGGTAGATCTTAGGTAGTAAATGCTACCTAAGTTCTCCAGCTACCCAAAAGCTTCATTTCCGTATATGGATTCAAATGCATACAGCATTGGATATGATGTCTTCAGTTGCAATATTCCAAGTTTGTTTCCGGATTTTTTGATTTATCAATTAGATAAAATAGTCCATGATTAATTGTACTGTGGAACGGTAAGGAACTCCTTTGTTACACGGTGTTTGTGGTTATTTCATTAGGTGAAAAGAGATGAAATTAGAGGTTAATCTAAAATTTGAGATTACCCTACGTTAAAATTAATGTAAACAAGGTGAGAGTATTGAATTATATTGATGTGAATATTATGTTTTTGTTTTTTTGATGCTTTTAGAGGCTTAGAGAATGTTAAACCTGAATGGGACTTTAGGATCTTTAGGAGGATCTTTATTTAATTCCTTTTCATCTTACAGCTGAGGAAACTGAGAGGTCCTTTCCTAGCAGGTTGTGGTTGTGTAACTATGTTCTGGATGCTTGGGTTTGGAATTGGGATTTAAACAGCATGTTATCTCAGCCCTTTCTTATAAATGTTTTATATGCAAAATCTTCTAGGACTTTGTTAATTTAAAAATGTCTATGCAGTTGTCTCTTGAATATGATTGCAGATATTTTATTCTGATCTTGAAAAACTCTGATCAACACAGATGTATAGGTTATCAGTAGCCTTGTACTGTCTTAAACATCTCACCTTATGTATCGCTGTCATTTTGGTGCCCTGGTTTTAGCAGTTTCCCATTTTTGAGGTTATTAATTTCCCAGGTAACTGGAGTAGTTAATATTTTCTTCCTTTTAGGTAAATTATACAATTTACAGGTCTTTATTTCCTGTTTAATAAATGCTCAGTAACTTAGGGCCTTTCCTTTGTTCTAGAGCTATTTTTAGGCTTAGAACTGAACGGAGTCCATATATTCATTTATAGCTATGAAGAGATCCTAATTTTTGAGTTTTGATAACACAACTTTTTTCCCACTGGAACTAAGGACTCAGAGCAATCATGGCAGTACTATTAATTTATTCGATTCAAAGTGAAAACAATAACTTTTCATTTTTTTATATATAGAAATATAATTTTAGTAGTCTTTATTTAGAAATAATTTGGAATATGAGCACTCTCATCATCTAATGAATAGGTGAATTTTCCCTATTTCTGTCTGTTATTCTGTACAGTCCAGATATAATCAAATGTAAATTGCATGTTGTACGTTCTGAAAAGTAATTACTTAAATGACATATGATAAATGGTATGCGTCTGAACTGATTTATTTTATTTTATATTTCTATTCTCAGTGAGACTTACTGATTTGAAAATATTTTGTATTAACACTTTTTTAAGTGGCCCTACTCACCCCAAATTCATTCACACCTTTATTCCCCCTCGTGTCTAAAACACACATACACACTCACACAACAGAAAATCAGAAATGTGCAGGGACTCTGCTCTGATAGCACGATAGAATTCAATATAGGAGATTATAGCTAACGAAAAAATGACCTTAGATCTCTGAGGAGAGACATAGGTTTGTTTTTTGGCTTTTGTGTAACCCTCAAATCCAAAACAAATACCTGCATGGAAAGTGATGTAGAATGAGTGTTCTTGTCCTTTCTTGTGTAATTCTTGTTCCCTCCCAAGTTGAACAATGGCTGCAATTTTTTCAACCTACTGTGCTAGTATTTCATGGCCATTTTTGATTCCAATAAAGTGGCTGAGTTAAAATGAAGAGTTTCCTCTTAGCTCTGAAAAACAGGTATTTTACTCAGATTTCTGACTCTGAAAAGATACCATCCTTGTCCCAGAATCTAAAGACATTTTAAGGGGAAAATCCTTTAGATACTTTACAAGTTGCATTTCACCTGTGTGATTATGTGGACAAATGACAAGGATCACCCTTCAATATTGTTTTCTTGAATCAGTGACTGGTTTTAAAACCCATCATGTTTTGTTTTTCTAGCTTTTGTCAGATGAACTACTTTGCTAGGTAGTTTATAAGTGAAGTTGACCAGATCCCTTTGGTCTTTGACTTGGAGGAGGTTAAATTCCCTGTCAGATGTGATGTCTACCATTAGGTGGAAAGTCTGTTTGTCCTTAGAAGGAATCCTGGAGAATGCATTTATATTAATGATTTTTGTGCTGCCTTCTCTTGCTGTGGTTAATAGTAATCATCTCTTTTCCTTCCCCTTTTCTGCTGTTTCTTTCCTTTTCTTGCCGTCTTCTATACTTTTTGAATTATTAAATTGGCCTATATATTTTTTCCTTGCTTTCCCCTTTTTTTTTTTTTTTAATTTTGTGATCTCCTGCCCCACTCTGTGTTCCCCACTTGCTTGGGTTCCATGTTGCTAGTTTTTATGTTCGCACGCTCATTATCACCCTTTTTTGTACTTCAAATCCCAGCAGCTGTCCAGCCAGGTCCCTGAGCACAGCCCTGTGGTTTATGGGACTGTGGAGAGCGCTCATCTTGCTGCCAGCACCCCTGTCACTGCAGCTAGCGACCAGAAGCAAGGTGTGTGTGTAACTGTTTTCTTCACTTTTTTTTTTAAATTAATTATATTGCCCTCAGCATTTAAGAGCAAGAGTGAAACATCTAAGGGTTATTTAGATACCTGCTTGTAAACAAAGCTTTGAAATGGAAAATCAAAGCGTTCCACCTCTAGGAAAGTAAAGTAGGGTTGATGAGTAAAATTTTTTCCTATATTTTATTAATGCCTCACTGTTGATATATATTTATAGGTAAAAACTTAGTTGCCTGAAACTGGTTTTGTTTTGTTTTTTGGTGGGGAAGTGGAACAAGGTTGGGGAAATAAATCAAAGTATATATTGCTTTACAATAATAACATAGTTTTATTTATATATTTAACATGTTCCTGTGTATCTTGCTGTTTTTAAAAACATGAAATATTTCTTCTTACAAATTTGGCTTCTGTAGCCTCAGTTCTGTAGTACTGAGTTTATTCTGGCTCCATCATGCACTAGTATTTGGTCTTGATGAGTTACGATGCTGTGTATCTTAATCATACTGAGGTCTCTGCGCCTATTTATCTTGAACACGAAGTGTAAAATTTTTGTTGAAATAAATACACACATTGCCTTTTGGATTATAAAAGAAAACTATAAGGGAAAGCTCATGTCAGAAAATGGGATATCACAGTCTTTCTTTCTTATGTAGCTGGATGTAGGTTGACCTTAACCAAAATTGAGAAAAATTGGAAAAACACAGGGGAAAACGTGACTTGGAGCATGCTGCTATAATGTTTCTGACTTCATTGTAAGAAATGAATAGAAAGCGTATGTGATTTCTAATTTTTTGGCTTATTCATTCCTCCAAACCCCTTCATAGGTGGATGTTAGTAAATGTACTTTCTAAAAATTATTCTTTTAAAAAGTACTTGGGAATTGGCACATAACCTAAGCAATATTATTTAATATTATTGGGGTTTTTTAAATAAGTTTTCACACTTAGAAACTTATGTTTGATTTCAGTGTTTTCTAGAGCATACAAAGGTAATAGGATGTTTTTCCCTTTTAGTATTGAGGAACCTAGTAAACTTGATAGAGATACATCCTGTATTTTGTTTTATAAGATTGTTCCAAACCAAAAAATACGTAACAAACTCTAACTTGGCATACTTCTAAAAGTTGCTCTGTCAGATACTTCTTTGAGCAGTGTTCAGACGGGGGAGACGAACCGTGAGACTGTGGACGCTGAGAAACAAACTGAGGGTTCTAGAGGGGAGGGGGGTAGGAGGATGGGTTAGCCTGGTGGTGGGTATTAAAGAGAGCACGTTCTGCATGGAGCACTGGGTGTTATACGCAAACAATGAATCATGGAACACTACATCAAAAACTAATGATGTAATGTATGGTGATTAACATAATTTAAAAAAACTCCAAAAAAAAGACTTATACATGCTTAGAGTTAAGTTTTTTAATACGAAAGCCATTTACCTTGAAGGAGTGCACTTGGTAGGTATTGTAGAAGATGCTTTCTATTTTTTGAGTCAAAAATGAGAATGTTTTCAGAGTAGAGAAGAAGTTTCAGGGTATTATCTTAAAAACTTTATTATTTAGTTTGCACAGTTGTAATCTTTTTGCTAGTTAGAACTATGCTAAACACATTGAATACTTACCATCCAAAGAGGCCTCACAGTGTATCTATCGTCTATGCAAACTTCAGCTGGGCCACTATATAAAGAATTCATAAGATGTCTTAATGATGATAGCTCTGCCCTGCTACAATTTTTAGATTATGAAACACCTTCATTTTGTCATATTTAGGCCTTGATTTCCATAAGGAAGAATGCAGAGCCCTTCATTTCCTCTCATTTTTTTTAGATTAGTGGAAATTTGAATAATAAACATTCCAGATTCATGTTCGATATAGATATGAGTGCGTTGAAAATGTTTTAGGTTACCTTGATGGAAAGAAAAATCTGAATTTTAAGTATATTTGGTAGTGCTTATAAATAACTCTGGGAGACTACTGCCCTTTCCTTCTTAATACCAATTATTTTCCAGAAAACTCAGTTAACTCTAATTCTATTTCTAATTGTACCCATAGTTTGCCAACATACAGAATAGTTTTCAGAGTAATTTTTAAACCAAATGTATGTAATTCAAATAACATTAGAAAGGACTCAGCAATTTTCAGAAAAAAATTTTTTTACAAAGTTAAGAAATTTAAACATTTTCTTAACTCTAGATTCCTTTTGAAATTAAAGATACGAAAATGTACTGTTTTCAGAGATTGCTAGATTACCTTCAGAAATAATAGACTCTGCATTCTGCAGTCAGATTGGTTTTTCTCTCAATGGAAATGTCATTACTGTGGGTTTGCTTTGGTTAACAGAATCACATGTTAGCCCCAAAGTCTTCTACCAGTTTGCTTCACCTAAATACTTCTTTTTCCATAAATCTTTATTTTTTTCCCCTTGAACTGAAAAAATGTGGGATTTTGAATCATTTTCAAGTTTCAACTGATCAGTTGTTAGACCTATCACTTAATCTATAAAACACTCAGTTTCCCCATCTGTAAAACAGGAACATACTAATTTCTACCCCAGCAGTGGTTGTAAGGATTAAAGGACACTGTGTATGTTTTGTGTTTGGCCCAGTCCTACCACATAAGAAGTACTTAATAAATGTTAGCTACCATTAATAAACTTCTGGTTTTCTCAGAGTTTGTGATATGAAAAGCTGAAATGGTTACACGAACACCAAATTGCCAGACAAATATGACATTTCCAATTAGTTGGTACTTTATAAAGATACAAAGACACAGGGAAGACCTTCAGCTTCGTTTGTAGAGAGAAAGCCATTGAATGTTGAATGAATTAAAATCATCATTTGGCATTGATGATGTCTAGACACAGCTTGATTGTTGTTTGCCATTGTTTGAGTAGGTACGTTCAGCCCAGTGTGTGGAGGATATGGTATGGACAATGAAATAACAAATAAAAGTTACTTGTTCCTTAGTCTTAGCCTTAGTGCCTTCTGAAAGCACTTAGTATAGAGTAGATATTCAGTGAATGATATTCTGTTGTAATTCAATGATTTATAGCAATGTTGTTCAGTTGGGGCTCCCCTGGAATTTAGGACAGGACTATTCTCTGTCAAGTGAGATTGTCCCTCAAGTTGAAGGATGATTACCTTTCCTGGTCTCTGCCCATTAAATGATGGTATCACCTTCTCAGTTACATGAGACTCCTGGCAACCAAAAGGTACCCATCTAGGCAGTTGGTTCACTGCCATCTGAGAATAATTTTCCTTATAAATCTGGCAGTCATTGTGTAAACTATGGATAAGTAGAAAAAGAAAATACCTCTTGTCTCATTATCTAGAGCTATTATTAGTAAGCTTAATTCCAGACTTTCCCATATGCATATGTTAGTAGCATATATTTTTTTAAGTTACCAAATTAGGTTTAGGTTCTACATACAGTTTTGTGCCCTGCTTTTTAAAAAACATATCTTTTATTATAAAAAAACTTTCCATATCATTACTCTTTTAAAAGCCTATTTTAAATGTTTGCATAATATACCATTATATGGCCCACACTGTTATTTCTTTAATCCTTCATGTTAGACATTTAGTCTGTTTCTCTTATTTTGTTGGTATTATGCAGTTAATATAAATAGCCTTAAATCTTCCAGACCTCTATCTTTGCTCCCTCTTGCATGATTATTATGAATTCCCACAATTCCCTAAAGATGGACAAATAGTAGAAATATTTGTAATGCAGTATATTAGATTTCAAACTATCATGGCTTTGCAAAAAATATACTCTAAATAGTAAAAGTTCTTAGATAAAATCAGTGTTCTTTATTTAGATTTACTGTAGTATACTTTTCAGCTTTCTGTATTAAAACTTGAATGAATTAAAGGAGTTTTATTTCAGAATGAGGACCTCTCAAAATAAGGTTTTTTTGTTTGTAATTTTCTTCATGTTAGATTTTTCTCAAGAGTATATAGAAATTTCAGTCCTAGGTCTGCTTTTGTTTGTTTTTGGTATCAGAAATTTTATTTTTCAAAATTAATAATAGAATTGACATACTTAACTAGATTAGTAATGTGAGAATTACTTTTTACTATTTACTGCTTCCAGGTTTCATTCAGTGTTTATAAAGGGTGTTACTCTGATGTGCTTTCACAGTGCTTTCATGTAATCTGGGTGACCTTTGTAGCAGTTACTCCAGTGAGTTGGAAATTATTTTCATGAGCAATATTTTAATAAATGTGTATTTATTATATATTTCTTACATATATATAATATATATAATAGATTTCTTTGAAATATTTTTGTCTTTTGCCCTGACAACATAGTCTGAGGGATTTGACAATGAGAGCCTAATGATCCTATTTCTCCTGTACAGTAAATAGGTACTGTACTGGTCTCTACACCCATAAATTAAAATGAATTTTAAGGCCAGCAAAAGTAGTTAACGAATGATGAATGATAAATGATATTAAAGGATGAGTTATCCTTTAACAACTTAATGGTAATATTTACCATCTGTTTCTCTGATTAACAGAGCATATTTTCTATGATAAACTTAAGTACAATAATTTATTGTAAAGACTCATTTTCACTGATGCATAAAGATTTCTGGCAGAGAAAGTAAAGTCCCTTTCAGTTTAAACTGTCTTTTAGTAGTGCTTAAAATTGTTATTTGATGAACATACTCATGAGTATCTTTTTCCAGTGGAGCCTGTTTATCATGCTACAGAAGCATCAGGCTGGAAACCAGTCAATCTCCTTTGGCTTCATCCACCCTGGAATGAATCACATATCAGTTTACCTAGAATTTTAGAATATGGAAATTTTCATGAATTACACTTTCTTACATGTTTCTGGTATACCTTTATTGTGATCATCAGTTTCTCTCTTGCTCTCATTCTTTTTCATCTGTACACAGATACACATTTTATATATTCGCAGGTATTTCAGATGTATATATTATGTTCTTTTTTTAATTGGACTTGATTAACTTTGGTTTCTCCTTGAAGAATTTTTTTTTACAAGATAAATTTACATTTTTATATTTTCACATTTCTGGTTATATACATGCTGCCTCTTTTGAAAAATGAAAGCTTAATTTGTAAATGAATTTTTATATTCAGGGACTTGATTTTGATAATAAATTGCACTGATAATAAATGACACCATGATAGCTTCTCTTAAAACATAGTTTTTTATACAAGTAATACACATTTTTTACAGAAATTCTCCTAAATGCAGAAATATATAAAATAAAAATACCAGTCTATAATAATTTAATCTGTACTTATTTGTTCTTGAGCTGTTCTGCCACTATAGTGTATCTTTGGTAGAAAAATCTTCTATAGGGAGCAAGATACAGTAGAAATGAAGGTCTTTACTTTAAAAAAACAAAAGCCCCATTCCCATTTCTGGATGGTTTAGCTTCAGTTTTGATGAACTTTTCTGTTGTATTCTTGATATAATTATATGGTTAATATTTGATTCCTTCTTTTACTCCAAAATAAACTTTATGTTTATTGGTGACCAAGTAACGCTAGGTATAACTAGAAAATATGACAGGGTTTTTTGGAGTGGCAGAGTTAGTCTAATAATTTGGTCTGTTTTCTGTTGCCCATTATTTCGGGTAAGAGATTAAAAGAACTAGCCCAAAATAATACAATATAATCTTTGATCCAAGAATTATTCTTAAACTCTTTTGTTTTTTCTTCCCCAGAAGAGAAGCCAAAACCCGATCCAGTGTTAAAGTCTCCTTCCCCAGTCCTTAGGCTAGTCTTTAGTGGAGAGAAGAAAGAACAAGCAGGCCAAACATCAGAGACGACTGCAGTAGAATCCATGCCAGAGCTTCCTCTGCCTCCATCACCTACCACTGTTTCTCCGCTTGCTCGAAGTACAATTGCTTCCCCCACTTCTGCTGCTCTAAGTAGCCAGCCAATATTCGCCACTGCTGTAGATGACAGGTGTGAACTCTCTTCCTCAAAAGAAGACACAGTTCCTGTACCCAGCCCTGTATCTTGCACAGAGACATCAGATCCATCACCAACAGATGTAATTGATGATGATATATGCAAGAAATCTTGTAGTGTAGCACCTAATGATATTCCACTGATTTCTAGTACTAATCTAATTAATGAAATGAATGGAGTTAGTGAAACATTACCAGCCACAGAGAGCATTGTGGAAATAGTAAAACAGGAGGTGTTGCCATTGACTCTTGAATTGGAGATTCTGGAAAATGCCCCAGAAGAAATGAAAGTGGAGTGTGTCCCAGTTCCCATTACCCCTTCCACAGTTCCTTCCTTTTCTCCATCTCCTCCAACTCCTCTAGCTCCTCCTCCTCCCACACCAGCCATTGTTCCTGCTGCTGCCACTAATGTTAGTACTGCTGGTGTTCCCACCGCAGTCCAGAGGGTCTTAGAAGAGGACGAGAGCATAAGAACTTGCCTTAGTGAAGATGCAAAAGAGATTCAGAACAAAATAGAGGTAGAAGCAGACGGGCAAACAGAAGAGATTGTGGATGCCCAGAACCTAAGTTCAAGAAAGAGCCCTGGCCCAGGTAAGCTATTGTGCCATTAATTATTTTATGCTTGCTGAACATGAAAAAGAAGCAGTGTTTGAGTTATTTTTTAATTGGCTACTTTCCTTGACTTCCAGAAACATCAAATGAATGCTGACATTCGTAGTCTGATTTCTTCAATGGTGTGTTTATGTTTTAGTGCAGCCTGCAAAAGAGTTACTCCATTGTCTAAAAATGCAAATGAAATTTCAAATATACAAAATGCCTCCAAGGTATATGTCACTGTACATGTGTTTTTTGTTTTTCTTTTCTTTTTTTTTTTTTTTTGCCTGTTCATATGAGTCAGTTCCTCAGTGGTTAATTTAGTAGCTTTGGGGCTGGAAACCAATTAAAACAAGCATACTCTATAGTCCTTAATCCTGTCTTCTCAAAATTTTAGAACCCAGTCAATCCTAAACATAAAGGAATTCATCTCTTCTTTAGTCTGGGATTTAGAAGAATAACAATCACAATGTTGAAGTTTAAACTAGTTCTGAAAAATGAAAGTGCCCTCTCTGATTCACAGAGAAATTTAATGCTCTTCGTTTTTTCCTTTAGAGGTTTCATTTTTTCTTGGAATACTAATTTTATCATTATTATTGTCAAAGTATTATATTCTTCCCAGTTCAAAATTATTTAATGTAGCATCACCTAGGATCTTAGGAATATTGGATTTTTATAATTTTTTCTGAGGATTTTATTTGAGAGAGAGAGCGCACGAGAGAGTGTGCATGAGCTGGGGGGAGGGGCAGAGGGAGAGGGAGAAGCAGACTCCCCCCAACATGGGGCTCGATCCCAGGACCCTGAGATCATGACCTGAGCCGAAGGCAGTTGCTTAATCAACTGAGCCACCCAGGTGCTGTCCCTTTTTTTTAGAGAGGAAAAGGTGGGGGGAGGGAGTGCGAGTGAGCTGGGGTGTGTGGGGAAGTGACAGAGGGAGAGGTAGAGAGAGAATCTTAAGCAGGCTTCACGCCCAGCATAGAGCCCGACTCATGGACTTGATCTCCTGACCCTGAGATCATGACCTGAGCAGAAATAAGAGAGTCGGACGCTTAACCGACTGAGCCACCCAGGTGCCCCTGAATTTTTATAATTTTAATCAAAAATTATCTGAGGCTTATCAACTAGAGTCATTAGCCCATAAGAATATGGCCCATAAGAATAAGTCAGCATAGCCCATCTGGTGCAGTAGTGCCCCATGCAGCATAATTTGCTCTCTGTATACCTCTCAGGTTAAATTATATAATTAGAAAATTGCATGCTTCCCCAGCAGTTGTTCTAGAAATGCACTGGGTGGGGACGTTTTAGTCATCAGCATCCTTGGTGTTTATTGTCTTTTTTCAGCTGTCTAATCCATAGGGAAGCTTAACAAATCAAGAACCTGATCCCTAGTTTTAAGATCTAGCTTTCCTACATAGCTCAGTTCTTGAGGCAGTTTCCTCCTAAATTTCTTAGGGGGGTTGTCTGGTTTCTTGGAACAGTAGAACATCTAGTTCAACATAGTGCAACAGTGCAAGGTGGTGGGGACAGGGAGTAATTTATCATAAAGTTTGTAAATCACCTGCTTCCTCAAGAGACTGGCCTCCATCACATCGGAATTCATGGTATCATTACTATTTTAGGAACCTTCTTTCTTGGTGGGGTGATGACCTGGGGCTTTTTGAAAAAACAGTTTGGACGTAGCTACAGGTGAAAGCCCCCCAAGGAACACTCCTTTGTTGGAGAACAGGAGTTTGTTTGACCCTTCATTATCTCCCTTCACATACTCACCGGTGAGTCGTCATCCAACAGCTAGTGATGTGGTAGTTCCAAAATTAGGAGAAGCTATTGAAGACAAATGTTTAAAAAAACAAAAGACAGAAAGAAAAACAAAATAATCATAGGTAATACAAGTCATAGATACAAACCATACCTGAATCCTGAAATAAGTAAAGAATGAGCCCACACCAAACTCATACTTCCACTCATTCCTGACATTGATTTTTTAAGCAGTATGTCAGTTAGGTGGCCTGATATTTGCAAGTCAGTGCCCAGGGATAGCTGGACAAACAAATTTTAGGGCAAGTAATTTTCATACCATGGTTCCTTTTTTTTGAAATGCCAGTACTCTGGGAATTAGTAATATAAGTCCCTAGCAGCTTAGTGAAGGAATGTAGATACTTCAGCAGCAACCAGAGGATAGCTAGAAAAGAACGAACTCTCTTTTGCATGATTTAGGGGTGAGGGTAGAGGTCCTAATGTCAGGAAGTAAAGCGTCCTGGCACTTTTCTAGTTTTATGATTTTTTTTAACCTATAAAGGTATTATATATAATAAGAGAACTAGAAGTTCTGTGATAGCCCTTGATTTCTTACACTCACTCTTCAGAATTCAAAGTAAATGAACCTGAAGAACCCATGTAAATAGCATTTTTTAAATTATAAAGCTACCAAAAACATTCCTGGCCCTCTCATTTCTATACAAATGTTTTTCAGTGTTGTTGCCACAAAAGTTAACATTAAAAACTTAAATTATCATCACTCTTGAAGATATATCCATTTGAAGTTGTCCTGTTCTCAGTGACTACAATCTTATTTGCACTTACTCATTTAGTACCTTGTTTACTTTGAGAGATTATTAAATCATAACAATTTGGTTTGGATATCAGTCTTTTGTTGTTGACTTTTTAAAAAAAAATATTTGAGAAAAAGCAAGAGCAGGGAGAGAAGCAGAGCGGGAGGGAGAGGGACAAGCAGAATCTGCACTGTGTGCAGAGCCCCATCAGGCTCCATCCCAGGACCCCGAGACCATGACCCTAGCCAAAACCAAGAGTCTGACGTTCAACCAGACCGAGCCACCCAGGCACCCCTGTCGTTGACTTTTGAGACTAGGTCTCGCTGCGTCTGCCTGAGGGTAAAGCACTTTAAAGCTCGCTTCAGAACACATTTGCTTTTGACAGGTGTGATGCATAAGAATACTTAGGAGTTGGTATAGAGATACTTGTTTAAAGCTGTAACATCAGACATTAGGCATATAGTCCCTTTTCTTCTGCTGGAAAACATTTTCTTGCAACTATTCTAGATCATATTTCTGACTGGAACAAAATGCAGCAATTCTGGATGCTTAGGTGTTGAAGAGCAAGCCCTGTGAAATGAGAATTGTGTTTATGTTCAGTGTACTCTGAAAAGCCTCAGAGATTGGCCAGACTTTTACTTAGTTCATACGATCGGTTCAGGAATTAAATGTGCAGAAATCTGTATTGGATATTTCTTGAAGTCTTAGGGTTTTTATTATGGTTTTTGTGTACTTGTTGGGTAATAAAAGAGAGTTTCAGAACTTGTGGAAAAACATTCCCCACTCATCATCCAGCAGTTCATTTTTATATAATTCCCTGAATGTGTATACTATGTAACGTGCATGCCGTGTGACATGAACTTTTCACTTTTGAAAATAATGAGTTTAGTTTTTTTATTATCTCTGTTTGATTATAAAAGTATTATTTGAAATTCCTTTGGCAGAGGGACATTTCTAATCTTTCAGCTTATTGTGTCTTCTGGCTCTTGCTCATAGTGCATTGTTTCTTCGTAACATCTTATAAATTTGTTTCATGAATTCCTCTTCAGCAAAACTTTGCTGGATGTACACTGTGGGCAGGTCATCCCAAAGCAGGTTTGTGTTTGCTTTATTTACCACGTCTTGAGGAAAACATTAGCTAGAGCTTAATCTGAGTTTAATGTCCTAAATCTTTCATATTCCAAACAACTGTGAGGGCATTCCCTGTGGATACTATTTTTCAGGATGACAACAGTCCCTTCCCACCTAGGTGAAACCAAGTGTCCCTCCTTGTCTTTACTCTGTGTTGGTTCACTGGTTTATTTTGTTCTCTTTTATTCTGGCTACCTTTTCCCTGAGGCTGTCACTCTGTTTGGAGTCTCAGGGCTTTTTGTGAGAACCTCAATTCCAAGTCCTCACTTCGCTGGGACCCAAGATCTTTGTCTCCCATGTTGATATTAAAATGTAAGCTCCTTGCTTTTAGAGACTGGCATAGCATCCCACATCCCCGGTAGTGTAGTGACGACGGTGGTGGCGGCAACTCACCTTGTTCATGTGGCTTCCAGGAGTTTCCCTTATATTCTTGGAAGCTCAGCTAAGGTTGAGGATGGTTCCCAGATTCTGTAGGTTGCAAGATGAAAGATCTACTTCTCAAATGGAGGTACGTTTGTATGTTTGGGGAGTGTTAATAAAATACTGATCCATACGGCCAGTAACATTGCTGTTCTCTCTTTTGGTTTTGATTCACTTGAGTATAAAAGGAGCAGAGTTTAGCTCAGGAAAGTATGTTTTAATAATAATCCTTGATTTATTTTCACCTGTGAGAATATTCACAGTACCTTAAAAGAAAGAAAACATAAGCATAAAAGCAGAGAAATAAAAGCCTTTCAGTTTGGGTAGACTGACCTGAGTCTCATGTGTAAAACCATGATCTGAAGGTCAGCAGCAGGAATTAGATATCTGAAATTTATTCTTGCCCTTGCTTAACTTACACCTTCTAAGAAATATTTGAAACATCCCTGGAATATTTAGTTTCTGTGGCTAAAAACAGATCACCTGTGATTTGATGTCCCACAAGCCTAATCCCTCCCTTAATCTACACCCTTACAATTTAATTTCTCATGTTCCTCTAGAGAAAATGTTCTTTTTTTTTAATTAAAGATTTTATTTATTCATTTGAGAGAGAGAAGAAAGAGAGAGAGCACGAGCAGTAGGGGGAGGGGCAGAAGGAGAGAGAGAAGCAGACTCCCCGCCGAGCAGGGAGCCCCATGCTGCGCTCCATCCCAGGACCCTGGGATCATGACCTGAGCTGAAGGCAGAACCTTAACCAACTGAGCCACCCAGACGCCCCTAGAGAAAATATGTTTTGAAACCTTATGTGCGGGACTTCTTACATGTTCCTGGTTCCATGTTAACTATGAAAATCAATAGAGCAGTTTTTAAAAGAAGGGCTTTTGGCTTTTGGCTCCC